AGCTGTTTTCTGGTGCTGTGTGTTGCTACAGTGGCAGCCAGCAGTCACAGCAGACTGGCCACTCTGACTTGTGGTGCAGGTTAGTTTCTGCCCATCCAGACTGCACTGAAATCATGAGCAGAAGGCACCAAACCATTACTAGGATATCAGACAATATCAGTCTTCAGATGTATTCCCTTCCACTGCACTGACTCAGCCTGGCCCAGCCCTGTGTCCTCTGTCACCTCTACCTCTAGCTTGCACAAGAAGTGACTGGCCGGGGGTGACAGTAGAGAGCTTTGATTTTGCCGCATGCTACTCCTACTTTCCCCAGGAGTCACTGGTCACATACGTGGAAGGCAATGGAGGCAGAAAGCCCTGGCCTGCTTGTCTCTCAGGTGATGCAAGAGGTGTGTACGTTGCCAGTGAGGATGCTGTCAGAGTGGAACCCAAACCTCAGATCCAAACTGCCCGAACTACTGAGCTCTCAGACCCACATCAGCCAGTTCCTGGCCCCATGAGCCACATCAAACCTAGCGACCCGAACACCTACAAAACGGAACTTTGCAATCTGAACTCCTTATTAGTGTTAAGTCAGGGAGGGTGAGGCTACTGTTACCTATTGCTCCTCTATGAAGGCTGCTCTTCCTTCCCCTGACAAGTGCATAATCATCTCGTCCTATCAGAGAGACAGAGACAGGGGAAGGTGACTAGCAAGGCAATGTGGGCAAGGCAACAAAACTTTGCTTATCATTGTTTTTCAAAACACTATGGTCACCGATTAAAAGTCTGCCTGTGTTGTCAGATCTGCCATAGAATTGTCTTATTTCTTTTGTGTTGTATAGATCCGGAAGAGGAAATATCTCACTACTGGGCTCTACGTGAAAATGAATTCAGAGGAAGAGGAGAAGAAGGTTAAGCCGTATCACATTGTCATTCGCTGAAGCACAAGAAAAGAGCCCAGGGTAATTTTCTAGCAGTGATGGAGATTCTACTTATTTAGCTTTCTAATTTAAACAAATAAAATCAAATTTCCTAATATAAAAGGTGGAGGGGAAAGACTAGAACATACCCTGTGATTTCTATGTCTACGGTTTGGAGTAGACTAGATGAATGAGAAGATTATGCATTAATATTTCAAAGAGACGCCTGTCACACAAAAATGGCTACATTGTGGCCTCTGATTCTGAGAATTATATTGTATCACTATGTAGCCTATATGTAGCATTAATGTCGCAGTCAAATGTCTTGCTGTTAAATTTCTGCCTCATTGCTGAGCAGCTGAAATCAAACACTATTCAGGCAGAGGCTTGTGTGTCACTGCAAAGCGGAACTGAGATACATTAATGAAAAAGGAGTGGTGTCGCACATCCATATAGTGCTGTGCGTTCGGTGCCATTTCCTGCCTTAGTGCTTAGCATTCCCCTGCTGTGAAGGGCTGACCTCAGCTCCTTTCACTGGCATTGGCACTGTAATGCTGAGCAGGTGTTTACATGGCAGCACTGCTAGAGAGAAGGTTCTCACTGGAGGAGCTTTATTGGCCTGCCCCTGTGAGAACACTCCAACTCAGTTGGAGTCTTGCTTTTTATGAAATGCTAAATTAGCATCCATCCAAACAACAAAAGGTCCGGTGCTGCGTTGACAGAGACTATTTTCCATGAAAATGAAGACAATGTATAAGTTTGTGTATTAGTTATGTACAGTTCAATAAAAACGTTAATGCTTTTCCTGAAGTCAGGTCAATTTTTCATTCACTGTTCTCTGAAAAACCAGGATGTGGCTACATGTTAGAAAGCAGTAATGTCAAAGGAAACCATTGCCTTTTAACTCTGTGTTTTTATATTCTAGTGCCCACACATTACCCGCATGCTCAAAAACACATCTCCTTTCAGATTTCCCCAAGTATTCAGAGCTCACCATTGCAATCTGACCAATTACCCATTTGTCTAATTAATGTTACCATGGGATTACTAGAGTCACAGGCAGTTTTCAGTCAATTATGTGCAGAAGGTGACTATAAGGGTTTTCAGGGCATGTTTTGAAGATGTTTATACAAAAAAAGCTGGCCCAAGTTCCAGAACATATTTCCCCTTTCTGTCTCTGAAAGAAGCTCTCTCGGTCGTGTGCTATGTGTAGGGCACAGTTCTCCAGAATTTCCATGGGAATGCTAAGTCATAATGGAGGACTGTGCCCTACACATACCCCATGATTCAGAAGTACTTGAATAATCACCAGCCTGGGAAAGAGAAGCAGAGCTCTCCTTTTCAGTTGCTCAGGAAAGCAAATGTGGACATCCATGACAGCCTTTCGTAATTTCACTTTGGTGTGTAAATCATTCCTGCCAATGTTAGCATACTATGAGCTTTCCTGCTCCAGTGGCTGAGCTATGCATTAGGTGCACTAACAGTCATTACTGTATGCTGGGTCTGCCTTGCAAGTTTTCAAGCAGACAAATGGACCAAAATCAGCTGATATGGCAACAGAGAAAGGATACTGCCTTGCAGCTTTTCTGTGCAATAATGTGCATTTAGTTCAAAGCAGAGGGAGGGATACAGTAGAAAGCCCAGACTAAGATGATGGATATCTATGCAGAATATACTGCAGCCTGCTCTGAAAAGTGCAGAGCCCTGTCCAAAGGGACCCTCCATTTCAGTGATATGCATGGTCTTGCCTGGCAGGACCACCACCTCTGCAAGTGTCCACAAACTGATTTGACCTGAAGGAGGCATCCCTAGGTTTATACTCAGCACCACTAATGCACTGCCCTGTAGCCTAGAGTACACTTTTCTTATATGCACTGTATGATTGTTCCAGCCCCTCTCCCAGCCTTTTCAAATGATCAGCCTCGAACCTGGCAGAGGGCCAATGCCCGGTGCAACTCCAGAGAGAGGCCAGCTGTTCCTCTTACCTTACTCAGACTAGCATGAAGGCTACTCTAACCTGTGGTCACTGCACCAGCCTTAAGGAGTTGCCTTTTTCTTTTGACACACTCCCACCACCTTCCTGGCTATCTGATAAATAAGCACAACATGGCCGGTCACCTCAGCATTGGAGGCTGTGCAGCGCTCTCTTTCCACATTACACAGAAAGGGTGATGGATGACTTGGGATGATCCCCACGTGTGAACTGACACAGGTAAGTAGTGCCATGTAAGAGTCGAATGGGCTTGGTTGAGGAATTATGGGCAAAATTAGTTGAAAGGAGCAATGTCAGGTCATCTCCTGCTTGGTCCTGCTTTGGGCAGGGGGCTGGACTCGAGCTGCCTGAGGTCTCTTCCAGCCCTAGGATTCTATGATCTTGAGGTAACAGGTAGAAATCTGGTCACGGGAGAATAGCCAAGAGCATTTAATACATGGCAGTACTGTCACATACCCATACATCATTACACGTTCTCTCTGCGTCTGATTGTGCTTTGCTTTTTTAACTTTTAAAATTGAAACTTTTTTTTCTTTCTACAGTCACATATCTCAACCGTGCACACACAGAGCACCCAGCCTAATGGCTTTTCTCCATGGTTTCTGATTATCCATGGG